TTTTGTTTTTTTAAATAGTTTATTTATTTTATGCATTATTATCATTTAGTTAAATTCATGGAAAAGTCTTTTGAATATCTACTTATATTATTTTTATCATTAACTTTAAAAAAAGAAAACAATAGCAATTGATTTTGAAGTATCAAATATAATATGGTGCTTGTGTATATCCATCATAGTGCATTGTATTTTGACAAACACAAATAGCAAGAAAAACACCCATTAACTAAATATAATACATCTTTTTAAAAAAAAAAAAGTCAAATATCTTAGTTCTTACTGATAGTACACATAATCCAAGTTCAACTAGAATAATAAATTTTGTCCAGAAAAATGTTGTTTGTGTTAATAATGAAAAACATCCTGGTGTACCAGCTAAACTAACTTGATGTACAGTACAAAATGATGAAGATGTCATTGAACAACAAGATAATGGTATATGTGATTCAGTGTAATCATAAGCTGAATTAATACCACAACAATGATACTAGAAATAAATGAGATATTGGTTGGTGATATGCTGAATAAAAAATTCTTGATTGACTCTTTTCTTTATAATTCTATGATGATGAGTGCTCAAGGTCTATACATAAAGAAAGATATTACATCATGACTTTCATCAATAGATTCGCCTTGTTGATTATATTATGAAAAGAGCAAAAAGATAAATGAAACTTTTCCTTCATTATACTATAGTAGATCAGGATGATGGAGGTTATCAATAGTAATTGCCCTTTGATTCTACAAGTCTAAACAACATATAGATATAACAATCTTAACATTGTAAACTTTGAAATTGAAGTAGACACCAATTGTTTACATCATTCATTTAATTGTTTCGTATTTTTTTACATTACCTTGCTTTGAACATAGTCAACTGCTTTTTCATATTGACTTGGATACATATGATTATATTTTTTCACTTGTGATACAAGATGTTGTTTAATAAGCACTTGTCCTTGTTCATGATACATAGCAATAAATATGAATAGAGCTAATTCAGCAAGAAGAACACATGTTACCAAAACAATATACTAGAAAATATTTATTTTAAATTTTACACGGTTTCAATAGAATATTTACGACTTACAAGTATAAGACATGTGCGAGATTCTTGTTGTGCACCACAATATCCAAAAAGTCCAATAAGAAATATAATAATACCCGAGAGAATAAGAAGACAAGCTAAGATTTCAATAGATGATAATGGTAAAGTAATAAAATTGAATAAATGAATAATATTTTGAACTTCAGGACGTAATAGAAAATAAATACCAAGTGCAATTAATGCAAGACCACTTACCTAAATAGACAAAATTATTTGAATGATTTTCTTTGATTTTCAATATTTAATATTCATATGAGAAGAAAAAAGAGGAATAAAAGTAAGATGAATATTTAACAAATATCATTTTAAAACTAATCAATTAAATCTATAGTTTAAGACATAGTTTGAATGTTTTTGTAATCAAAATTTCATTGAAGTAATTGACCAAAAAAAAAATTTTTTTAAGAATATTTTATGCTGATGATTGGTTTTTTTTAATATGCTCGAAAAAAAAGATATCTTGATGATTCTTCTTTTGCCTATTGAAAAATTACATATCACTAATTATTATTGTTCTTAAAAATATTCATCTTATATTTATCCTTCGATTATTTTAATGTTGACATTTATCATAGTTAAGTTTAGTTACTTACCCAAAAAAAAAGATTCAAAACCAATAAAAGATATTTGGCACAAGGATAACACGTAGCAATACCCATTATTGTTTAATAATTATTTCGTTGTCATCATTGTTATTCATATAAATGTATATGTTGAAAATTTTTCTTTTTGATACAAGTGCAAACTGATAATGAATAGAGAACAAAAAAAAAAGCACTTTTGATATAGTTTAATTTTTCTAATAATTGTTTCGTTCGTTCTATTGTATGTCAGACGGCGTCAACTCAAGTTGAATTCTACTATAGAATACTATTTGTGGTTATTGATAGTGAATAAATGTTTTCGAGAGAGAGAGAGGGAGAAAAGTAATTTGAGTAGCAGTGCCGATAGTAAAAGAACAAGACAAAGAAGAAAAAAAAAACCCATAAGAAAAAGAAAGAAAAAAAGAAATAAATCAATATTTCTTATTACCAGTACTCATGAACAATAGTGCATTACAATATATTCTTCTTAGTTATGAGATAACAGTTGTTACAGTAGAGAGTACATATATAGATATGTATACAATAACAAAACATGTATGTTTTTTTTCTTTTGACAAAGAACAAACTAATATGTATTGTATATGAAATCTTTAGAATTAGTAAATGTTGACATAAAAGATAAAAATTTTTTATTTAAATAATGTTACTTGTCTATGAAAGATTTTATCGATTTGCAAATCTTTGTATTAATAAAAAAAAAAAAAAAAAAAAATCTGAATTTTAAAACAACAATCTCATATTGCAATTGAATAATAAAATAAAAGAAGCCGACACATACACAATTCATGTTCAAACTCTCGAATATCATTTATCGGTTAGATTTATTGCATTAATCTACTTGAATATTTAATCTATGCATTAGTTTCAAATGATAAAATGAAAATAAAAGAAGAAAAATAATTGTTCTTCTCATATGTAATAAATATATTGTTTGAATCGATTTTCTTTTCATAAAATATTACGCAATATTGTTATCTTAATCTCAAATGAAATTCTTTATAAAGTCTCGTCTTCTAAATTAATAAATTTATTCTTATATTTCTGTAATATATCTTTAGCTCTGTATGCATACAATTACCTTGTATGCCTACCTATTCAATAATATTGTCTACAGTCCAGATGCTTAAGAAACAAAAAAGGAAAAAAAAAACGACGTATGCATTTTTAATAATCGAATACTATGATATATTTGTTTAGTCATTGCCTTTAAGATTGATGATGATGAATATAAAGTGTTTGTTGTTTTTATTTATTCAAAAATGTATACTTATATACACAATCAAGGACAATATGATTGTTTGAGTTATTTTTATTGTCTATGCTTTATACTATATATGTAAGAAAATAAAAAGAAAAGAAAATGCAAGTTTCATATTAATCTAAAAGATTATTGAAGCATTGAAAATATTATAAATTGACAACAAAAAAAAACCAGCCAAGTATAACAATTAAATGAGAACACAATAATAAATCGACTCGAAAAATGTTCTTAAGTTTTAAATGTAAAAAAAAAAAATGTTGCTTATTAAAATAGAATGTATTCATATTGTTTTTATAGATATTTATTGCGATGTATAGTTTTAGGTTTTATACCATAATAGACAATATATATATATATCAAGATTGAATTGTAATGAATAAATATTCATATTTTTTATCTAATAAATTTTGGAATTTATGTATGAAAAAAAGAAAAAAAGAAATTTTTATTTGTTATTCTGATATTTTAAAAGTGAGAAATAAATTTCGAGTCAACTAATTGCTGAACATTGATCTTATTCTTCTTCTTCTATTTTTTATAAATTGATATAGTATTATTAGAGATTATTAAAAAAAAAATATGACACTTAATTAGATATTATTAGTAATTTGAAAAAAAAAAATTCTATCTAAGTTGTATAAAATGACAGAATAAGATCTCTATCTTCATATTTTGAAATCTTCTAATCGTCTGGATTCTTCAGAAATACAAAAAAAATTTACATTATAGATACTACCTATATGAACTTCATATGTATTTTCTGATAACTAAAATTATTAGTTGAAGATACAGACAAAAGTTAATTCTGTCGACTGTTTGAGTAATATTAAACACAGCTATTTTGAACGACAATAATACAGTCTCTTGAATATATTATTTCTTTAGTAAGCATACATGTGAAGAAATACAATTTCTCCTAGATTGTTTTGACAACTAAAGTAAGTTTAGCGCAACGAATCAAGCTGATTATTGTAATTATTATGTCCTATTTACTTTAAAAAACTGCCTTTTTCTTTCTAATTATTACAAAAACATCAACGCTTGACGTCATAAAATTTTAGAACGACATGTTAATCAAGAAGATTCTATGATTACTCTGTTATTAAGACATCAGTAACCTATTGGATGTTAAGAAAGTAAAAAAAAAAAGAAATCAAAACTAAATTTGTCACTTCAACTTTTTTTTTTTTCTTCTTGTCTTTCTAGCAATGATTATCATTAGTTTGTCAAGATAAATCTTTGAATATTTTCGATGATAGAAAAAAAAGGAAAAATACATATTTTCTTGAGTATTTTTATAATTTGATTATTTGAGAAAATATTGATATGAACTAAGCTCATAGAAAGGATTTTCTTCCAAATAAACATATAATCCCCGATGAGAAAACGAGAGATAAATAAAAGAAGATAATAGAAAACGAACAATTTAGATGCGATTAGTTGAATTTATGTTATCTATATATGTATAAATCTTTTAAAATATCTTAGCTCTTTATTTTTATTTGATACGTATTAAGAAAAATGTCGTTTGTAAGATTTTCCGATTTCGAAGAGAGAATAGTCGATTTCTATTGTTTGTTTTTTTGTTTTTTCAATATTATCTATGAATTGAACAAAAATCAATAATATTCGAAAGAGTTAGAAAAAAAAAGAGGAGATTACTGAGTTGATGAAAAATTAATACCGTTTGAATGAATCTTAAATTTTTTCTCTGAATTTTATCAAATGCACATATATATATATATAGCGACATATTTCGAGTTTTCTTATCAAATTTAGCAAACACTGTATTCTCTATTCATTATTACTATGATATAAAGTAATTCTATGTAATTATTTGGTATGAAATACGAAATTTTTGCACTTTGCTAAAGCATTATTTTACTTAAAAGATTTTTGTTTTTTTTTCATTTTAGCAATTGTATTGTTTTTTATAGAGTCTCCAATAATTCAATCAAATCGAATATTATTCATTATGATTTCATTGTTTAATTTCAGTCTTCTTGGATTCTTTTTATTTTCCATTATGGTCATTCAAGCAAAACCTTTGCATGAATCGGCAATTATTTCAAATGGCAATAAATTAACAAAAAATTATCAACAACTTTATGAACTTTACAAAATTATGCGTGAAGATCCACGTCTTGCTTCTGTATCCAATTATGATATTGTCTTATTTATCCATAGAAATTTCATTTCTAATACAAAAAGTAATATGAATTTTATGAAACCAGAATATTCAAACTATGAACGTAATCAACAACAAGACAATAAATTTAAATGACTTGATATATATATATATCTACATTTATCGATTTAACTAGCAATTAAAATAAAAAAATAAAAAATAAAATATGATTATTTTCAATGGAATATTTTTTTCCTTAAAATAATAAATAATAATAACAATATAATTATAAATATCACGATAAATTTCGCATATGACTAACTTTCATACAAGATAAATATTTGATTTTATTTCATTTAGCAAAAAATTATTCAATCATAATCATAGTTATTGTTCGAATATTAATTATTAATTTATATTAAATTCTATGATAGAATAAATTTTGTTTTCGATTTTTTACTAATTCTTTTTTCGTAATTTTCATATCTTCTAATCAAAATAATTTTTGTCTTTTCTAAATTAAATATAATGATAAATGAAATCTATTTCCTATCATCATTTCAGTTTATCTTTAATGCAATGATAGAATGAATATTAGAAGAAAAAAAACCAATGAACGAATTTCTCCTTTGGAAGAAAATCTCCCAACAACTGATTTATTACTTTTGGATCAGGACAATATGCATCATGAATACTTTAATGAATTAGAAGTACGCTGAAAAGAATTTATACTGTTATCTTATTGCTGTCAGAATCCTGAATTTTTCAAATCAAAATTGTTATTTCTTACAGAACTATTGAAAAAACTGATTGTTTTGAATTTTGACTTGAAATTTTTGTACAAACATAGGCCTTAAATAGTATAGTTTGTTATGAAAATTATAAATCTATTAATTTGTGTGCGTCCTGAAATAAGAACATCGAATCTATCAATGTATACAAATGATGTAACAGACACGTTTTTACTATGACCATATCTTAAAATCGTAATGATACAAAAAATATCTAGAACTCTTACAATCAATTATTCTGTTTCAAGTTTATATCTGTGCAAAACTTTAAATCGAAATTCGAAAACCATTTGTTTTTTAGTATTCCTGTGAGAAACTATAACTTTTATTTGAAAAGTACAGTATGTTGACAATAACCTATCTCAACAATTACGTAATTACTCTAAATCTGATAGCATATTACCTATAGAAAGTACGAATTTCGAAAACGAGATACTAGAAATCGATCAAATTTATTCATTTATTGTAAATATATCTAATAAAATTGATGAAACTTCGGTATATACAAGACAAAGTTATTTTTCCTTGATATTCATTGAAATTGTTAATTGACAGTAAGTTAATACAAGTATTTCATTGTTAGTGTTCTTTTCTAATTAAATGAGTTTGTAATAAAAAAAACAAAGGTATTATTCTTGTATTTAATAAATGATGATTTTTATTTACGTTATATACAGACTTATCTAAAAGTTTTGGACTTGCTCAGAACAAATACATTGTTGTATTCAGATCTTCTTCAGCGGAGGAACGAACTAAAACTCCAATATGGCGAATCCGATCATCAGAAGGAAGGCATTCTCCCAACTATAATGTTGAATGAAACACTGAACAAATATCTTTACTTATTTATTATAAATTTAAAAGCATTCAAAGTTTACTGTCTAATCTTTGATTCATTACATACAAAATTTTTCTTTTATTCTGTCGTTTTTAATAAATATTTATTGTCGAGAGACAAAAAAAATTTACGAAGAAATTTTATCAGCTTATATGATTTGTAAATATATTCAGAATTGATTTACTTAATAAAATGAAAGTTTCAAAGTCAAGTTAATTAATAAGAATCAATCCTATCAATAGAAACGACACGAGAAGTATAAGAATATAAAATATTGCATTAGGATGTGGTGACAAACTTGTTGAAAAGATAAATCGTACAGCTATTTTATGAATAGGGTAAGGAATATGAAAATTAAAGGTAATATTTATCGGGTTGAAAGAGATT